TGTGAACGGGTGTGGAACGGACGCAGTTGAAAAATTATATCAGTTTTGAACGGGCTCGGAACGGAGTTCGAAATTTTGAACGGGGTTCCGACGCACGTTCCATGTTTTTTTTTCGCGCTTGGGTAGCCTACTAAAATGGAACGGTCAAAAAGAGTGTGATAAATGACGTATTATTTAGTTTTTTGTCTTTTGTTTCCCATTTTTCGTTGTACACATGCTAAATTTTCTACATATTCAGCTCTCCATGGATGCGATAAATTTAATTGTTGAATTGTAGATATAGCCAAGTCAAAATATTCTTTTGCTTTAGGATAATTGTTTTTAGCATATTCGACTGCACCTAAATTATTATTAACGACTGAAATCTCCAATAGATAAGCCAGTTCTGATTTCATTAGTATAGTGAGAGCCTTTTGATAATGATCAACAGCTAAGTCATAATTGCCAGTTTGATAAGCAACATCTCCCATATTATTTTCCAATATTGATGCCGATGTATGATTGGCTGATAACGATTTTGTTACTATATCAGTTGATCTTAGACGTTTATTTAGAAAAACTTTTGACGACGGTTTTAGGTCAGCTTGAGCTATTTCTCTATTACACTTAGCCGTAGTATGTGTATCGCTGTCTAATGGAGCAGTTTTTATCGCCTTTTCAAAATAATCGATTGCTATATGCAGATCACCTCGTTCTCGACGAACAATACCGATACGATTATAAATAATAGCACGATCTGAATGATTTTCAGGTAAATTAAGGCCTTCGTCTAACATTCTATAATATCTTTCAGCTTTATCATATTCACCCATTTTCATCAGAAAGTCGCCTAATGTCAACAGATCACATGTTTCACCTAATTGTTGTTTTAAATAATTCGTTAATTCTACAGAACGTGTATTATCATCTTGAGTTGATGTTAATTCAATACACCACATTCCACTACGATCTGTCATTTCATCTACACTGTTTATACGCCATACACTTCCAATTGAAAATAAAACTTCTTCTTCGTCTTTCATACAACCATCTTCAGGTTTTATAGCAGCATACGGTTTACATGTGGTCGAATGATCAACGTTTAACTTGAATAGAACACATACACCCCGTTGAACTTGTCCGTTACCAGTATAGCATTCAGCAACAACTTGATCAGTGGTTACCGATAAAAAGCCATTCATTGATATAAGACCATTGATATTGTTTCTTAAATTTTCCAACGTACTTGCAGCAATACACTTTCCTCTGTAGAAAAGAGTCCTATTTTTCTTTAACCTTAATGTTTCTTTATCACGTAAATGCAACTGAACAATTTGATTATGCAAATTACTAATAAATAATCGAAAATAATAGGTATGATCAACATCTTCTGTACCGCATACTTTATTTAGTAAATGAACGAGAAACGACGCAGCTGTATACCAGTATATAGCTCTTAATGGATCATCAGCTTCTACTTCAAATTTGTCTATTTTAGCTAGTTCAATTGGATAATCTTTATAAAACTGACGACAAATTAATATCATTTCGGTTTTTGCCGTTTCTGATTTTTCCAGGCGTATCAAAATTTCAATCAATAATTGAAATCGAATAAACCAAATAGAGTCTTTATTTAAATCTTTTATTGAATTGTTTTTGATTTTTCCACTGAATAGAGATATTGGTGGAACAGCATAAGCTGCACTGCCGTCGCTTTCTTGGTCTTTTGCTACGGTGGTGATGACGTTAGTTGCTGATGCCACCGCTGTATGCTCATTGAAAGCTAAAAAGTTGTTTTGTATTTGTTTAATTAGCATTTCGACATTGATAAATCCGCCTTGAATCTTGTTGGTTACTGCCGAATCCCAGTGATTTTGCTCCGTTTCACCAGTACAGTATACATAGATATACTCAATCTGCGACATACTTTTAATAAGAGGTACTAGATGTATACCGATTCCATGTGATACGATAAAAAACAATTGTCCAGGATGAGATCCATTGATATACGTAACACAATCAGGAAACAGACTGAATGATTTCAAACAATCAAAAATATCATTGAGTGCATGTTTTATAGAAGCATGTGTTTTCTGTTCACAGTCACCATCAAGCCATACACCAATAAAATTTTGATTTTTGGGTGATAATAGTGCAGTTTCATTTTTCGCAATAGTAGATCTAACATTGAGGCACAAGGATTATGTTCGTTCTGTATAACAGAAAAGAGTTATTAACCGTTATTACCTTGATATTAACATTGTTGTATGATTTTCAGACATAGACATTGCTTACTATTACTTTCCTAAAACAGTTGATATCTGAAAGAAGAAAGAGGCTTTAATCCTTAGCGACCGACCTTACGGTAATTCTGTAGAGACGTCATAGAAATCTTATAAGAATCTTATATAAAGCAGCCTGTGCAAATGCGTAGAATATTGATAAGATTGTTATACGACGGAATATAGGAGTCTTATAAGATACTGATAAGAATTAGGCAAGACACATTATATAATTAGTTTAAAAAAATTCATAAGATTTTGATAAGTTAGCATACAAACTTTTATTTACAACAATTAAGAGAGGATCCGTGAGAAAATCGACCACATTAGTCGGAGCTAAAATTTTTCTTTTGTTCTTAGTATTCTAGTTCGAATACGAAGGAGAGATATCTTGGATCACTTAGTTTTTCGACGAGCTTTTTCGAACTAGAATACTAAGAACAAAAGAAAAATTTTAGCTCCGGCTGATGTGATCGATTTTCTCACCGACCCCCTCTTAAGCGTCTGACTGAATGGGTAACTCTGCAGTGTATAGGATCCACGAAACACAGGAAATCATTTTAAGACCTATGAAATCCTACGTAATTGTATTATAAGGACTCATGTGATTTCTATTATAGTGTGCGTGCTTCTTGTGGAGTTCTACCATCTGAATCTTACACTACGAAACCTATCACATGCGATTAGGTCCTATATAGGATTATCTAGATTTTGTCAGAATTATGTTGTGAGATCTGGTTTGTTCATGGTCTTTAATTCATTTCAGAGGTATACCTCTGAAATGAATTAAAGACTATGAACAAACCAGATCTCACAACATAATTCTGACAAAATCTAGATAATCCTATATAGGACTTAATCGCATTTGATAGGACTTAATCATCTTTGTAGAGAGAAAAGGATCGCAAGTGGTGCATTTTGATAGAGCTCGATTTGAAAAACCGGAATTTGTGCAAGCGACTGCGCTGTTGTGCCACGTATCCTGTCATATAATTTTATTTTGCAAACTTCGTTCTTTTCCTCTAGTCATAATATAGATTTCGAGAACTAAATCCGGTCTACGGGTAGCAGACAATGAGGGCGTGTCCTTAGAGTGCACACTTGGTTTTTTACTTTTGAAAAGGGGTTTTTTACAGGTGTTAAGAAATGAAAAAGCCTTCGGTATAGTTCCAAAATGAAAAAACCGTTTTCGTTTTTTAATCTACGATTTTTGTTTAGAGTGTACTAATAACTAAAAAATGTGATGATTTTTATTACATCCTTTAGCCTATGAGAATCGGAACATCATATACATTCAAAGCATTTGACTTACAAATATCTGATATAAGAATTGTATAAGTTCTTAAACGAACCATTACGATTCTTATATATATCTTACCAGGTTCTTATACAAGATCCTTGTCAATATTCTACGCATATGCATCGACTGCCTTATTAAGAAATTTATCAGATTCCGGTAGCTATTCTGTAAGAGTCCTATAGGAATTCTATATAAGATTTGATCCCTATGGGAGCGTTTAAAATGTCAATAACAAACTTGAATAAGCATGTACCAGTATCAGTCATGAAATCGAGGACGGTTTTCGAGCGCCATCGATCACCTGATTGTTGTATGCCTATGCTCGACATAATAATAATGAAAAGGGAACAATAAACATTTAATTTATTAAAATTTTAAAATGAATAAAAGAATAAAATATCCTGCACTCATTACATCAACGATTATTAGTTCTCGGATGTGCTGCGCTTTGGAAGCTGGCCGTGCATAGTGACCGTACTTTGCCGGTTTGTGTCATTTAATATAGCTATATTTTTCAAATATTTCTCGATCAGAGGATCCTTAGCTGGAAGAGCAGTTAAAGCAACGTCTAGAGCCACTTTAAAGTACTTCAAGGCCTCAACATAGTTGGATTGCCTATAATAGATACTCGCAATTGCGCTATAGATGAGAGAAAGATATGGCGAATCCGCTTCTGTGGTTGTTATGTTTAATGCTTTGTCACATGCAACACGTGCTTCATGAAACCTACCCACTGATTGGTAAACACAAGCGAGGTTATAATAGTTCAGCATTGGTGAAGTGTTCGCCACTGGCGCTGCCAAAACGATTCCTGACGATTTTTCAAAAATGTTTGATATTATAGTGGACTTTTCATGTAGTAGATCCTTACCATCCGATTTGTGCAACTCACGGGCTTTTTGCAGATGAATCAATGCATTGGTTGGGTCATTTTTCTGACCATAAACGATTGCCAAATTATTGTGAATCGTCGAACTTAT